GAACCTAGAGCCCTCAAATTTTTGAAAAGTGAATAAATTGATTAGTAAATTAATAACCAATTTTGTAAGAAGTTATTACTAGCCATGGCTCTTTTACTGAACTGTAAATATATTTTTTATTCTAGCAAAATTTATTAGCAGATTGTGTACTTTCCCAAATGCCAATTTCATTTTATTTATTTAATATTTAAATAAATCCTAAATGGTATTTCTGTGAGATTTCTGGGAAATTAGAAAGTTTTACATTTAAAAAAAATAATAATTATTTATTTAATATTTATGTATTATTTTTCTGAAATTTGACCAGAGAGAGAAAGAGAGGGAAAGGGAGAAACCAAGCTACTGGGTCTCGGACTCAAACCGTGGTCTGCCATGTGGGAGTGTAGCACCTTTAACCACCAGGCCACCTGCTGGCCCCAGAAAGATTTACATTTGTAATAGCAGTTTTGGTTTGTCTGTATGTATTTATCTTACTATACAAAATGAAAAGGAAGAGGAACTAGCTTGCCTAAGCCGTCTGATGAGAAACCGCAATCTAGCTTGCCTAAACCCTCTGATGAGAAACCGCAATCCTTAAATGAGTTAGTGTCACAGGGAAAGAAAAGGAAAGGGAGAGTATGGGTATCTTTAGAAGAGGAGTACGGAACAAGGCAGAATCCATATATTTTTCTGCCTTTTTCATTGAAGATGGGTAAGTTCCTTTTACATTTTCTTAATGATCCACTTCTTACGTAGTTTTTTAAAAACACTTAAATCCTACAAATAACTTTTAAGTTATAAATTTCTGATAATCTTTTTTATGTTTTTGTTAACATTATCTTTAAATTGTAAATGCAGTATATTATCAGGGTAAGGATGGTAAAAAAAAGAAAAAAATCAAAATATAAGGTGATAAGTAAGATTCTATTTCCCTAGTTTCGCTCTTTTGTTTTTTCTTCTTTTTTTGGAGAGGTTTTCACTATCGGGCATGTGCGCTCGCCTGATAGACAGAGAGAGACATAGAGACAGAAAGCGAAAAATATCCCCCCAGGGGGGATGGTCACGCTGCCATCCCTTCTCCTCCATTCTCCTCTCTGGATCTTGGGTATGCACGCACACACGCCCGGCGTGAGTTTTAAGCCACCGGGTCCCAGACGCGAACCGCGGTCGACTATGTGGGAGTCCAGCGACATAGCCATTACGCTAACTGCTGGTTCCCTCGCTCTTTTGTTTTCTAATTCTCAAGTGCAGGGGAGTGGAGGAGGGAGATGGGAGTTTGTCCCTCAAATGTCAGACAATGTCTGGAGAAGCTTTTGGTTGTCACAACTAGGGAAATATTACTGGCATCCAATGGGTAGATGTCATAGATGCTACTAAAAACCATCCAGTGCACAGGACAGCTTCCAGCACGAAAGAGTAATCTGGCCTAACCTTGGTGGTGCTGCAGTTGAGAAATGTTTTAGTTCCTTTTCCACAGAAGTAAAATGGTTTCTCATAAAAACCTTCTAGATATTTACCCTTTATATGTCTAAAACACAAATTGTTGATCTTTGTATTGCAGCTTCCTTTTTTCATTTAGTACTTCCTGGAGAACTTTTTGTGTTTGTACATGGAAACCTACACAGTTCTTTTTACTGGCTGCTTGGGGTTTCATTGATAGATGCACCAACCTTTATATAACCAATCCTCAATGATAGAAATTTTTGTTTGTTATCATTTTGTGTGATGAAAACATTTTTACTTAACATCTTTGTATATGCATTTCTGTGTCCTTATGGCAGTGTATTTGTAGATTGATTCCTAAGAATGAATTGATATATATGCATTTTTTTCATTTTTATAAAGATTTTAATTAAACTTCATAGTGTTGGTTTTAAACTTGGGCTTTCTGTTTTTTTTTTTTTTTTTTTTTTTTTTTTTTAGAGCGATTTTTGGTATAGGGCATGAGCACTCACCAAAGAGACAGACAAGAGAGAAATCACCCCGAGTGGAATGGCTGAGCCGCAATCCCTTCTCCTCTGCTCTCCTCTCAAATTTTGGTCACACACACACACACACACATGCGTGCGCGCTTCCGGTGTGAGTTTTAAGCCATAAGGTGCAGGACTCAAACTGTGGTAGTCTACATGGGAGTCCAGCAACATAACTGTTATTGGTATGTACTGGTCCCAGCTTTATGATTTTTTGTCTTCATGCTTTTAAATGGAGTCATTTATCTCAAAACCTGACAAATTTAGAATCCATGAAAATGATTTATTCAAATTAGGTTTTTCAATACAAAGAGTTCTGTGGTAGTCTATCTTTGAAAGTTTTCATACCATCTCAGAACCACATTGGCCAGAATGAACATTTCAGATGGACTTGGTGTCTTTTGGGCCTGAGAGACAGCAAATGATGAAGCAAAATTGTCAAGGCTGTCCAATACCTTTTCTGTGAACTGAGTTAATGAGTCAACTGAGGATACAGCAGCATTGTTTATAGAAGACTGTGGAGCCAGACTGTCAAATAACTCCATGGAAATTCCAATCTGAGCAACAGATGGAGTTCACACAATATTCATAGCTCAAAAGAGGTATTGGCTTCCCTCTCCAGATTTAAGACCTAGAAATTTTGAGGATGGCACTTGATTTCCCATGTGTGACAAATACTAGAAGTTGCCATACTGGCATTCCCTTTAAATCAGGATAGGAAAAGTAGGCAGATTCTCTTATTCTCGTGGGAAATGGGATTGTTCCCAGCATAACACCACAGTATGGTTGATAATCAGGTATGGTTGATAATCAGACAAGTAAAAAAAAAAAAGTCCTTTGCCACTTGTTGTATAGCTGTTTGCACCAGCCTCCCTGCCACTGCCACCAAGCAGCCAAACATGGTAGTGATGACTCCTTTCAGTAGCAGGGACTCGAAGCTGGTAATCAGTAGTCCCAGGGATACTACTTTTATTGAGCCCAAGAAACTTTCAGAAGTTGCAATGGACACCTGCTCCTCCACATAGCAACTTAGCCAGCAGGACCACCTTCTCAGTGTACGTGCATTTTAAATGGGGTTGGATATTACCAATTTCCTCCCCTCAAAAACAATTGTACTGGTTTTGCTCTTCCTAATAATGTATGAAAGCCTCCATTTTCATTTTTGGATCATTGAATGTAGTATTTCTAGAAAAAATGAATTCTAAAATAAGAAAACACTGAAGTTTGTTAAAAAAAATGTTAGTGGAAACTTGGAAATAGAAGGATTGAGCTTATTTTGAAGGTTGGAAAGGCTTCAAAAACGGAAATGCAAAAAAAGCAAAAGAAATAGGAAATTATTTTTTCTCACTTTTTTTTTAACGGCTCTCATAATTTTATTGTTAATCAACTGGGCAAGAAGTCTTCCTGTAACTTGCTACAAAGCATTAATGATTTAGTGTTTGTGTTAGTGAACTTTGCATCAGTAAAATTTGTATGTACATTTATGGATGAACCCATGGGGAGAGATCCAGAGTGACATCAGTAGACAGAAACTAGAAAGATCTGAAGAGATTAAAAATATAAATAAATAATGCATGGCGAAATGGAATAGAAAGACATGTGAACTCTCACACTTGATTTCAAAAACCAACCTCAGAAATGCCTAGTGAACATGGCACAGCATAGAAGTTGTGCATGTGTCGGCATCTGTCCCGGGGCTTGGGTCTTTCTGAATCATGATTAGAGGGCTGTTGGTGAGGAAGAGAAAGGGGACGAGAAAGAGAAAGCCCTCCATC